AGTCAGGCCCGGGCTGTCTGGGGAGAAGAATGTTCAGGGTAGGTGTAGTACATGGGTTGCAAACATGACCCCAGTCTTCACACACTGGTCGCTACCCTTCACGATGACAGGGTGCGGCTCCTTCCGTCAAGAAGGGCAGTGGATTCCCACTCCTGCCCCCATGTCGTGGACGTGACGGTGGGACCGGTCCAAGTTTAGGACTTAGGGGGCATTGACTCCTTTGCTCCTTTGCCTAGAACTCTGCCGTGCTTCGAAAAGTAGCCTAGGTTGGCCTGGAGGAGGCGGACCTAGAGCAGCCAGCACCTGGCCTCCCACCCAGCAGCCAGCAGAAGCAGCAGAGCAGCCTGGGTGAGCAGAGCCCAGCCCAGGTCAGCACGGCCCAGCCTGTATCAGCTAAGTTCCTACGTTCTGTGAAACATAACCAATGGCCATTATTTCCAGGCCCCTACGTTGCAGATGCTAGAGTGGGCATCTGAGAGCTCTTGCGGACTGTGTGTGTCCTGAACATTCAACAGTGTGTACTCCCCTGGGGCAGGGCACAGGCCCTAGAGTTTAAGTGCCCTCAGACAGGGCACAGAAGGACCAAGGGAGGTGGCCTTGGAGAGGGAGACAGTAAAGTCCCAGGGTGAGCAGGTCCCTGCTGCCCAGCCTGGGCACGTACCACAGCACAAGCCCAGCACAGATATTCTTTCGTTAAAGTTATTATTTTTTTAGAATCTAAATTATATCTGCATCTGAATTAAAGAATAAAGTAGTTCAATGTGGTTATATACATTTGGGGTGGGGCAGTTGAGACCAGTTCTCATTATGCAGCTCAGGCTGGCCTTGAACTGAGAGTGATCCTCCTGCCTCAGCCTTCCGAATGCTGGAATTACAGGCGTATACCACTACACCTAGCTTTATTTTAAATTTTTGTCTCCTCCTCTCCTTCCTCCTTTTTCTCCTCCTTCCAGGGATGCTGGAAATTGAACCCAGGGTTTCCTGAGACCTTTATTATATTTAATTTTGAGACATAGTCTTGCTAAGTTGCCCAGGCTGGACTTTAATTTGTGATCTTCCTGCCTCAGCCTCCCAGAGAGCTGAGATTATAGGCGTGTGCCACCACATCTAGCCATGTAACATAAACGACAGTAGGGCCCTGCCTGTTTCCTTCATCCACTTTCTACACACAGGACTCTTAATGTTAAAAAGCCATCCATCCATCCATCCATCCATCTTCTTCTTTTTATGTATGTATGTATGTATTTATTTTTGGTCCTGGGGATTGAACTCGGGCCCTTGGGCTTGCGAGGCGGGTGGCAGAACCACTGAGCCAAATCCCCGGCTCCCATCTGTCCTCTTCTCAGTGGCATCTCATAGCACTACTTCATTTTAGCCCTTATCTGTTAACTCCCCACCAGGGAAGACTTAGTTCTTTGTCACCGCACCCCTCCCCACGCATTTGCCCTCTGCTTGGCCCTGGCCCTCCCAGTATCCTGAAGTCATGATTTGGTGGAAATTAATATGCGTTTTAAAGTTGTTTCTATGACTTTGAAGGCTTTGTCACCGCTGAACTATGAAGATCGCTTTGCCCACCGTAAGTTTTCCACACAACTGTTCCCTCATGAGCTTCTCAATGATGCTAGAAGCCCAGGGGTGCAATGGGAGAGGCATAGTATTTCTAGTCTACACTCACCCCTTCTGAGAGAGAGGAAGAAGAGAGGAAGACAGAATGGGACAGAGAAAGAGAGGGAGACAGAAGCAGCCTTTGGGCCCTCCAGGGATTAGGGAAGGCCACTTGGGGACAGAGGTTCACGGAGTTTCTCTTATATGAGGATCTATGTCTTTTTTTTTTTTTTTTCCTGGCACTGGGGATGGAACACAGGACCTTGTGCTTGTGAGGCAGGCGTGGCGCCACTGAGCTAAATCCCTGGCCCTGAGAAGATATCCCATCTTATATGAGGACTATGTATTCCAGGCTGTAGCCCAGGCTGGCCTCGCCCTCACGGTGACCCTCTGCCTCAGCCTCCCGAGTGCCAGGACTGTAGAATGTGCCACCACGCCCGGCTAGATGTACTGTATGTATTTTGCACCTGTATGGAGAAAGCAAAATAGAAGACAAATAGGAAGTAAGAAGTGCAAATTACTCCACAAATTATCTATTCTGTTGTTTCAAAATGCTTTAATATATATCATAATTGGTTTCATTTATGTTACTAGTTTCTCTTAGCTCATTGAAGAGAAATTTTGTGTTTTTATGGGTTTGTTTCTTCTTTATAAGACTTTTTTTTTTATATATACCGGGGCTCGAACTCAGGTCCTTGCACTTGTGAGGTGGGCGGTGGAACCACTGAGCTACATCCCTGGCCCTGTAAGGCTCTTTTTTGTGGGATGTGGTGGCGCACACTGAGAGTTTGAGGCCAGCCTGGGCTATTAGTGAGTTCAAGGCCAGCCTGGGCTACATATGGAGACTTCGTCTAAAAAAACAAACATATGAAAAGAAAATCTTTTTTGCCTATGACTTCTACTCTGAGTAACATTTTGGCCATTCTCTTAAAATTATGTTACACAGCGTATTAACTGTTGTTCTATAATTATTTTGTTATGAAATTTTGTTTTATTTTTTTCATTAAAAAAAAATGACTAGGAACTCACAGGCTTCTAGTTAGGCCTCACTTGCCAGCTGAGGGGCCCTGGGTCCTTTGGGTTGTGTCTGTCAGAGGCCTCTGCCCGGGGTCTGGTTTCTTGCATCCCCAGCCCAGCTTTGGCTTCTGTCATCAGGTAACCTTGGTGGCCCCATCGGTGAAGGGCTAGGATTCAGGACTGGATACAGGTGACGCAGAGGTGACCCTCTCTCTCATTTGCATGGTTTTACCAGGGACCAGCAGTCAGGACTCACAGCGGGGTTCAGCACGGGCCTTTCTGGTGAGGAAGCTGCCGGAGGGTTGTGGGGCACAGCAGGGTGAGGAGTCTGAGGTGAGGGGTGCCCGTGGGGCCGGAGTGGTGGTGGCCCAGGCCCCAGAGCTCAGATGGTCCGAAGGGCCGTGGGGCAGGACTCAGAGTTACAGAGGGACCTGAGAGAGATGGAAACTTCCATCCGTACCAAAACCTATGCACCGAGGCTTGTGGTGGCTTTGTTTATTATCATCAAGAGCTGGGTACAGCCCAAATGCCACCCATGTGGGTGGACAAACAATGGTCCATTTACACAGTGGACTACTACTCAGCAAGGGACAGGAGGGGACCACTGACATGTGGGACGTCGTGGCAGAGCCCCAAGTGTGCACGCCAAGGGGAAGCAGCGAGGGGTGAAGGGTTGTGCCCCAGGATCGTGTGACAGTCTGTGTGGGTCATTGTGGGGTAGTCTGGGAAATGTGCCTAGCACTGGGTGGGAGGAGGTGTTCATGCCAGAGTGGCAGGGGGAGATTCTCCGGCGCATGGAGATGGTTTATGCCGTGATTACTACCATGGTTAAATGGCTTTGTGCAGTTGTCAAAATTCTTAGGATTATGAATGGGAAAAAAGGTGAATTTTCTGTCTAAGTTATACCTTGATGAACCTGAAAAACAAACAAACAAACACCATTGGAAAGTTAGAGTGGTGAAAGTTAGAGAGTGGACACTGTAAGGGCGGGGCGCTGCCAGGCGCTGGGGAAAGAGCCCAGGGCTTCATGGGTCCAGCAAGGGGTCTGCCCAAGGGCCAGCGCTTCTTGTTCATTCTGTGGGAGTGCAGTGGATGCCACAAAGCAGAGAGCCCCTAAATCCTGCCTGGTGCTCTTCACACCCTCAACATTCCCGGACCACAGAGGAGGCAGCGGGGCTCAAGGGGACAGACAAGAAGCCAGTCAGAAAGAGGCTTACAGCAGGCTCTGCTGCTGGCCAGCTCAGCTTCATCTACAAGATGAAGACAGTATTTTGTACCTCACGGAGCCCAGCGAGCAACAGATGGGAGGCCTGAGAGGGCTGGGCCCCCAGGAGTGTCTGCTTTCCAGAAGGACAACCAGTCTGAAATCCTGTCGTACTTCTTACAAGCTGTGTGATCTTAACCTTTCCGGGCCTCAATTTCCTCACTGATAAAAGGCTTTTTACAGTCTCATTAAATAGTTTTGAGGATTTAATGAACATAAGGACTTGGCCCTGGGTCTAGAATTCAGTGAGCTCTCAGAAAGAGAGCCCCAAGGGCTCACATATTATCATACGGTTGCCAAATTTATTTATTTAAAAATACATAGGAAATATATTATATATATTACATATCATATATTACATATATATGATGTCCCCTTGATGTGGAATAGCAGATAAACAATCAGTGAGTAATTTGTTTTGTTGTGAGACATGGTCTCTTCATGTAGTTCAGGCTGGTCTTGAACTCACTATATAGCCCAGGCTGGCCTCAAACTCTCAGTGATCCTCCTGCCTCAGCCTCCCTAGTATTGGGATTACAGGTGTGCATCGGTGAATTTTTTTCTTTAGCATAAGTATACCCCATGTGATATTTGGGACATTCTTATGGTAAAAATAATTCATGATGCAATTATACTAGAAAACATGTTTGTTTATCTGGCAGTCAAAGCTAACTGGACAGTCAGAGCTTTACCTGGCAGGGGAAGCACCTTGGGAGTGATTTGAGGAGGAAGTGAGCGGAGGGGTGGATCATCTACTGCTTCTCTGTCTTACCTGCAGGCCGAGTCCTTCCCGGCTTGGTCTGATGATCTGATGTCACCTGGTCCAGGCAGACTCCGGGGTGCGCGCCCACTGCCTGTGCATTCTTGGTCTGCTTTCCGCCCCGCCTGAGGCTGCCAGCCAGCCAGTGTCATCATAACTCACTCCTGGTGGGGACGGCCTTTCCAGCACCTGTCCCCCATGTGAGCCTGTGCCCCCTGGGGGCCACAGCCAGGGCAGGGTGTCCTGGGGCAGGCAGCAGGCGCTGCGAGTGTGGTGGGTCCTCTGTGCCTCGCTGATGGCTGAGTGGCAGCACAGCGCTTACATAATCAGTTTCTCCCCTCCTTCTTTTTCCAGAGCCAGACTTCACACTGAGCAGCTGCAGTCGGGGAAATCAGAGAAAGCGCCACCCAGCCCCAGATTCCAAGGGGCCCGCTGGGGACTCTCCTCTTCCTCGGGAAGGAAGACCCCGAGGCTGCCGGCTGGCACCAGCTCCTGGGCTTCGATGGCACTGGCAGCCACCACCCCCAGGCTGTCCTCCGCCCTGCCAGGCAGATAGGGCCGCTGTGCCCAGGGGCATCTGCCCTCTGCCTGCTGTCCGGTGGCTCCTCTTGGTCCGCCTTTCCTGGACTGCTGATGTGAGGCCATGTAGGCACTGCTCAGGCCTTTGCATATACTGCTGGGGACAGTGCCGCTGCTCTTGGGGGACCCAGTGCATCACCATGCCCCGGGGACTCGCCTGGCTGCACTGTGAGTACTGGGGTCCCTGGAGACCTTCCCTGGGAGGCCTTGGGCCAGAGTGGGCTCTGCTGTAGCCATGGCAACCAGGGCTTTCTTGATGCCGAGAAGTTGAGAAGCTTCCAGTCTCCCTGTAGGCAGCCCCTTTGCCCTGCTTGCCCCTGACCCAGGCTCAGAAGGGCAAGCTGGGCATGAGCCTGGACTGGGAGGTGTAGTCAGTGGTTACAGACGGGGAGCCACTGTGGTGGGTGGCAGCTTTTCACCCCTGTAGCTTCATTGGCATCGGGGAGCACGCTGGGGCGGAGGTGGCAGAGAGATTTGTGTCTTCCCTGGGTGTGGCTGGTGGGGTGGGGTAGGGACCAGTGGCCCAAGACAGGTGGGTCACATGCATCCAGGAGCCTGGAGAGGCAGCCAGCTCCCCTCAGATCCCCCCTCATGACAGAACAGAGAGAAAAAGCAGGAAGCCAACAGCGCCGTATATATATGTATATAAAAAGAAAAATAAGTTAAAATGGTCACAGGAATAAGAGAGGAAGGAACTGGAGAGCTGTTGGGGCTGCCAGGTGGGAGGCCAGGCCGCATGGCCCTCAACCTGAGACCCAGTGTCACCGACTCCGATGGAACACGGTTCTCCGGGCCGCCCACGGTGCCCTAAGAGTGATGGCTGAGGCACTGAGGCCTCACCTCCCAGCTCTGCAGCTGGCTCGGCGCTAGGTGCCCAGCAGTGACCCAGTGCTCCGGTGTTGGGGAGCAGGGCAGCGGTGTGGGTGAAGCGCCGTGGGCCGGGCAGTTTGCGTCCGGGCAGACACGGGGCTGGGGGACCTTGGTCCGGGCAGAGCAGAGCATGGGCAAAGCCTCAGTGGGGGCCGGAGAGGGACAAGGCCACAGAGCCTCAGCGGCCTTGAAGGCTGAGCAGAGAGTGCCAGAGATGCCGGGGAGCCCTGGGACTGGGTGGGGGCCTGGCTGGAGGTCTCCTTCCAGCGGTACTTGGAGTTTCCTGCAGCCATCTGGGCTGAGGGAATGAGGGTCAGTTCTCAAGGTGGAGGGGAAGAGGGGGCTGGAAGCTCCAGGAGGCAGCTCTCAGGGCTGGGCAAGGACTGGCTGGGGAGTGCAGCACAAGCTGGGTGGCTCAGGACAGCAGAATGTACTGTCTCACCGTCCTGGCGACCAGAGTGGGAAATCGGGGTGCGGGCTAGGCATGTACCAACCCACGGCTCTGGGGAGGCTCCTTAGCAGCTAATGATGGCTCCCGAGGTTCCTCGGCTGTCTTTGCCTGGCCTTTCCTGCCTCGTGCCTTGGTTTCTCCTCCTCTTCTTACCAGGACGCCAGTCACTGGAGTTAGGGCAGTGGATGTTTCCATGGGTAGAACCTTGGCCCAGTGACATCTGTAAAGGCGCTACCCCCACATAAGGTCACACTCTGAGTTTCCAGTGGATATGACGGGGGGTGCATGAGGGTGGGGTGAGAAGCCTCATTTGTCACTGTACAGAGGGTCATCTTGGGGAGGGCACGGGTGCCCCCTTCTACCTGCCGTCACCCGGAAGGGAGCGCCTTGCATCCGTCTTTCCTCAGCCTCACTTCTGTCCTGCTGGCTTTTATCTCTGGAGGGAGGAGGAGCGGAAGGGGCTCCTTTCCAGCGTCAGCGTCAACAGTGCACTGGGCTGTGCAGCACCTGGGGTGACAAGTGTCACTCGCTTGAGGTTTCGACTGTGCCCTTTCTGCCCGGTCCCCTGTTTCTCCTGGGGGAGGCAGCAGAGATGAAGCTGAAAATGGAGATGGTGGCCCAGCTGCAGACTTCGAGTCCTTTCCTGGGCCAGGCTGAGGTGCTGTGGCTCTAGAAGACCTTGTACCTGACTTGAGGCCACACGGTTGGCAGGTCCTGATGGCTCCACAGAGAGAGTAGGACTTGGGGATGGGGTGGACAGCCTGTGGTGACTGCTGACCCAGTGTAGACAGGAATGCCCCTTTAATCTTATTTAGTGTGTGTGTGTGTGTGTGTGTGTGTGTGTGTGGTGCGTTTAAAACAGTCTCACTGTAGCCCAGGCTGGCCTCAAACTTGAAATCTTCCTAGCTCAGGCTCCTGAGTGCTAGAATTAGCCATGTATCACCACACTCACTTAGAAATACTCTTTATTCTGGGGGAAATTTGGATTTCTCTGTGCAATCCCCACAGGTCAGGCATGGCCCTTGGGATACCTAGGTCTGCTTTTTTTTTTTTTTCAACACTGAGGATGGAAGCCAGGGCCTTGTGCCTGCTGGGCAAGCACTGTATTACTGAACTATCCCCCTAGCCCTGCTCTGTGGTCCCATAAGTGTGTCCCAGGACCAATGGCCACAACTTCACCTGGGAACTTGTCCCACAGGGACATTCTCTGGCCCCACCTCAGACCTGCTGGATCAGAGTGAGGCAGGACTGGGGTATCAGGGCCTCAACCAGCTCCCCAGGGGATTCAGATGCTGGCTCCCATTTCCACAGCTAGAGGTGAACCCCAAAATTCAGGCATGCTGTGTTCAGCCAGGCAGACCTTGCTGTGGATGCCGGTATTAGGGATTCAGGCCAGGGTTAAGAGGCCCGGTCAGGTAATGAGTGAACTGGGCGTGGTGCTGAGAGGGGACTTGGGGTGCTGGTATGAGCAGGGCTGGGGAGAAAGAGTCCCAGTGAGACTTTGGAAGAGGCCTGCAGTGTGAGGTAATAGCAGGGCCCAGTGGAGCAGGAGCAAAGCCCCAGATGCAGGAATGATCTTGACCTCCAGGGGTGGGTGCCAGGCAGAGAGGCTTTATGACTTAGAGACAGAAGCCAAGCTGATTGATGTCAAAGAGGGAAACACTGGTTTGGTTTGTGCTTGTCTGTTCCTTGGGCCCACTATTGTGTCACGTGCATAGGAGAGAGGAGGAGTGCAGGACAGATTACTGCCACCTTGAAACCTTGCAAAAGTGTGGCTGTTAGGGTTCTGTGGAAGGGAAGGTCAGGCGACTACAGCTCACATAGGGCTCGGTAGACTAAAGATAGGTTGAGGAAGGGTGTTCTGTGAGGGGTCCCAGCAGGTGCAAAGGCCCAGGGGTAGCAGGATCCAAATAGGGTGAAATTAGGGGAGGAAAGGAGGTGTCCTAACAGATAAAGTAGCCAGGCCAGCAGGGTGAGGGACAAAATCTTCCAAGGTGCCAGGAAGTGAGTGGGGGAGAATCCAATAGGTAATTCATACTCAGGGCAGGGATGGTCAGGGAGGTGCCTCAGCCTGCTTGGCTACTTTAAAAAACAAAACAAAACAAAAAAATGAGGCTATTGACTACTTCTGAGAATAAGACTAGATACTGATTGTAGAGAATAAAAAATACAAAGAATATTGAAAAACAAAACCTCCCATAGAGATTTGGTGCATTTCCTTCTCCAACTCTTTTCACACATACTCATGGAAAGAAGGAACAAAATTCAAGTCCTGCTATGTAGGTGGGTAGTATTTATTTATTTATTGTCACTGGGGATCGAACTCGGGTCCTTGTACTTTCGAGGCAGGTGGCAGAATCACTGAGCCAAATCCCCGGCCCTGCTTATTATTTATTTATTTATTTTCTAATACTGGAGACTGAACCCAGGGCCTCAGCACTCCCGTTTCCCCTTTTATAAATTTTTTATTTTGAGGCAAGGTCTTGCTAAACCACTAAGTTGCCTAGACTGGGTTTGAACTTGCAATGTCCTGCCTCAGCCTCCCAGAGTGCTGGGGTTATAGGAGTGTGCCATTCTGCAGAGCTAGGGCATGCTTTCAAAAAATGTCACTAAGCACATCTTAAGTATTTTTCTCATTATGGAAACGTCATTCCTTGAAAATGTGATTTTTTTAATTGGCTACATTCATTCATACGTAATGTCTTGGCCATTTACAATAATTTTCACACTTATAAAAGAGCGTGGCAGTAGTAAGTCCTTATCCATAAATATTTTGGTTATTACTCTTTCATGCTTTCCTTCCATTTCATGAGTTCAGTGGGCCAAAGGGTGTGGACTTGATTAAATCCATTAATAACAAAACTTGCCAAATCACTTTCCAGGATGACAACACCTTGCTTCACTACTTGGCCAACATGAGATATTAATAAAACAAAACAAACACAGAAAAACCTTTCCATTTCCATTTTGATAGATGAAAAACCTTTCCATTTTAATAGATAAAAAATGGCATCTAATTTTTTAATGGTATTGGGGATTGAACCCACGGCTTTGAGGGAGCTAGGCAAGTTTACCATCACTGTGCGACCCCCAGCCCTTTCTATTTTTCATTTTACTTCCTATCTTTAGGGGTGGGGGTTTGTTTTGTTTTTTATACTGGGGATCAAAGTCGGATGTCGGGCTTGTGAGGCAGTCGACAGAACCACTGAGCTACATCCCCGGCCCTTTTTTTTTTTTTTTTTTTTTTTTTTTTTAATATGTAGTAGACTGACCTGGAACTCACTATGTAGTCCACGCGCGGCTCAAACTCATAACGATCCTCCTGCCTCAGCCTCCCGAGTGCTGGGATTACAGGCGTGAGCCACCACGCCCGGCATTATTTTTTATTTTTGAGACAAGATCTCACTGAGTTGCCCAGGCTTGCCTCAAACTTCTGATCCTCCTTCCTTTGCCTCTTGAGAAGCTGGGACTGCAAGCAAGCATGTGCCACTGTGTCCAACTATCTAATTTTTTTTATCTCATTGTTTTAATGTGAATTTCTTTCTTTTATTAGTGAGCTTGATATTTTCATATGTCTTGCCCTTTTATGTTTTGTTTTTTCTGCTGTGATCCACTTAACTCCTCAAGCTCATTGCAGTCAGACGTTTTCTGTCCAGAGCTGCAGGGGCTGTTTCTGAGGTCACAGTGACCTCCAGTGGTAAAAGGCAGGTAATGTTTCAAAGGATGGCCGTTTATTGGTTACAGGTACAGCCCTAGTGAGATCAGCTCCGTATCCCACAGCCACCGGAGTGAAAAGCGATGCAGACCACTGGTACATTTCGTGGCGGATGTTAGACAGAGCAGGGAAAAGAGTCGTCTAGGTCATTAGAGTCACTTTTAGAGTTGGAACTAGAATCCAACTTGAAAGGACGCGAGAGCCTGACTCACAGGGCAGGAGCTGGGAGAGATGGGACCAGCTTGGGCCTGTGGGGTAGACACTGGTCACCACCGGGCTGCTTGCAGGTGCCCGTCCTTTCTGATCTGGGGCCCAGGCCTGTTAAAGCATCGGTGTGTGGGTGGTGGGAAGGCTCCCTGGGGCTCTGCACCTACCACCCCTTCCCGTGAGTACTTGTAACCCAAGAAAATGGTACAGCTTTGCACACTGGGGCGGTGGCGGGGGGGACATGGTGCCTGGTGCTCATGTGCTTTTGTTGGGTGTGGTCCACAGATCTTGGGATCCTCCTCGGTGTGGCCTTGGGGAACGAGGGCTTGGAAGTGTGGCCTTTGACCCAGAATAAGGGGTGCACTGCCACGGGCTACCTGCGGGACAAGCTGCAGTACAAGAGCCGGCTTCAGTACATGGTAACCACGCGCACACCAGCTGTGTCCCTGTCCCAAGCCCAGCAGCTCGCGTGGTGCAGGGCTCTGGACCCAGAGGGCCTCCTTGGCCTTGTCAGCCCTGAGTCACCACAGCTCTCTGTCTACCGTTCCCAGCCCCTAGCCCGTGTCTGGTCTGCTCTCTGCTCCCTCCTGCCATCTCCCAGAAGCCCTGTCCCTCTCCCAGACGTGACCTTTGATTGCTGGAGTGGACTCTGGGGACTCCTTGCAAACCCCAGGCTTATTACCGGGAGAAGCAAAGACTGACAAACTGAAATGTTTGTTTGGTTCTTTTCTGAGAGTTGGCTCTATATGTCTGCTTCTAAAAATGCTTTCATTGAGATACAATTCACATTCCGCAGAATCCACCCCTTTGAATTGTACAGCTGCTTGGTTTTGGTGTCCACAGAGGTGTGCAAGCATTGCCACAGTAAGCTTTACAGCACGTCCCTCACCCAAGATGCTGGGTCCTCGACATAGTGAGGGCTCACCTTGGACCTGAAACCTTAGCCTCACCGGCGAGGTGGTGGTCTTTGGTTTCACGTTGTTTGTGTTTGTCTTCGGACCAGTGTGGAGCTGGGCCTGTCTCCTCCCTAGAGGACCCCCCTGGTGTCATGGGGATGGGCCTGGGCCCCACTCCGACCTCAGCGTTCTTACCGGGCTGGGGCCACCTGTCCAAGCCGTGTCTGCCTCTGACCTCATGCTTTGTTGCTGTGCCTCCTAGAAACACTACTTCCCCATCAACTACAAGATCAGCGTGCCTTACGAGGGGGTGCTCCGAATCGCTAACATCACCAGGCTGGTGAGGACCCCCGGCCTCCGGCCAACCCCCCCACCCCGTCCCTGCCCTGACCCTACCCAAGGCTGCCACCGTGGGTGCCCTATGGGCTCGGCTTGCTGGCGGGGAGGAGAGGCCACAACCCACAACCGCGTCCGGGGGTTCCAGGGACTCTCGTGTCCCCGCAGCAGAGGGCCCGGGTGAGTGAGCAGGAGCTGCGGTACCTGTGGGTCCTGGTGAGTCTCAGCGCCACCAAGTCCGTGCAGGACGTGCTGCTGGAGGGCCACCCGTCCTGGAAGTACCTGGAGGAGGTGCAGACGCTGCTGATGAACGTGTATCGGGGTCTCAGGGTGAGCTGAGCCTGGGGGAGCCGAGGGTGGGCGTGGCCGCAGAGGGAAGGGGGGGGCCCAGGAGAGCTCTGGGGTGCCCCGAGGGCGGAGGGACAGGAAGCAGGGCGGGAAAAGGAGCCTGGAGAGGAGACTGGCTTGAATTAAGTAAAACGAAAAAGAAGCTCCTTCCTGCACAACACGGTTGATCTGAACCCTCGGGAGGTGTCCTCCACAAAGCCCAAGACATACTAAAACAGTAAGGTGACAGAATCAATGTGTCCCCAGGAAGGCCATCTGTCCCTACCAGCCTTCCTCAGATCCCTGTACTGGACCCACCTGCCACCACCTCCACCAGCTGCCCGGGCTCATCTGCTCACCAGGCCCAGAGCAGCTGGCACCAACTGTGGTAGTCCCAGGAGGAAGGGCCTCAGGGAGCAGCTGCTGTTTTTACAGCTGCCTATGACCAGCCCCAAAGCCTGGAAGGGGCCCCTTCATCCCTGCAGAGTCGGGAGGCCCGGCCAGATCCTTGGGGGCTTGTGCCCAAGGACAAGTGGGTGCCCAGGCCAAAGGAGCATCCCGGGGTGTGCTTGGGATGTGGAGGGGACATTTCCACCCTCGTTATTCCTCCAGGGCATTTCCCAGCCCCCGTGAGGGCTGGGCTCCCTCTCCCACTCTCTCTTTCTCTGTCTTTTGGTACCAGGGATGGAACTTGGGACCTTGTGCATGCCAGGCAGGCAGTGGAACCACTGAGCTAAATCCCCAGCCCTGGCCCCTCTCGATTAAAGTAGTGCACCTAGGGATTCTATTATTACTATTATTCTTAATTATTATTATTATTGAACCCCTGAGCTACACCCCAGCCCTGTAGCCAGCTTTTACATCTCTCTTCTTTTTTTTTTTCTTGTTTTATGGAACAGTACCTTTCTATGTTGTCCAAGCTGGCCTTGAACCCACTGTGTAGCCTAGGTTGGCCTCAGATTCACAACGACTCTCCTGTCTCAGCCTTCTGAGTGCTGGGAATATAGATGTGTGCCACTGCTCGGTTTATACCTTTCTTCTGACACTGTTGGTAGCCATGACCTAGTTTTTAAGATGGATCGTACTTAGAGAAAAACCACCCTTCAGATTTTCTTCGCTTGTAAACCTCCCAGTGGTCATACAATGTAGGAGGTCTAAACTAGGAATTGGATAAAAGCTGTTTCCAGCTCTGTAGCCTTGAACAAGTTATTTGACCCCTAGGCTTCAGATCCATCACTTAAAAATATATTTATATACTTTTTCCAATACTGGTGGGCCATATTCTCATCTTTTTTTTTTTTGGTACTGGGATCAAACTCAGGCCCTTCTGCTTGTGAGACTGACGACAGCACCACTCAGCTAAATCCCCAGTCCTCCTCAACTTTTTAAAATTTTGAGCCAGAGTCTCACTAGGTCCCTGTTTCCCAGGCTGGGCTTAAACTTGCAATCCTCCTGCCTCAGCCTCCAGAAGTGCTGGGATCACAGGCTGTGCCTCCATGCCCTGGCACATCCGCCATTTGTGAGGAAAAATGGTTGGAATGAAGTATGAAATGGTACCTACGGCAGCTGTAGAATAATTCCATGACTTAATTTAATGTCCTCATCTACTTGGAGATGCCAGGATTCCAGATTCACATTGTTCTGGTCCTACATTTCTGCACTTTCTCTTGTTAAGTTTCCTTCAGGAAAAAACAAAAATGAAGAAAATTCTAGATAGAGACCATGGGGGCTGTGCTGTGAGGGAGCACATTTTATAATATAAAATCTGCCATTTGACCCATTTTGTACAACTTTAGTGGCATTATTTTTTGTTTTGGTATTGGGGATTGAACTTGAGCCCTTGCGCTTGCAAGGCAGGCAGCAGAACCACTGAGAAATCCCCAACCCTTAGTGGCATTAATTATATTCACAGTGTTAGGCCATTTCTGGAACCTTCTGTTATCCCGAACAGAAATTACCCATGAAGCACTCACTCACTCCCCATTTTCTGCCTCTTTGCACTCCTGGTGACCTGTAATTTGCTTTTTGTCACTGTATATTTGTTTCTTCTTAGTACTGTATAGAGGTGGATTCATGCACTATTTGTCCTTTCAAATCTGGGGGCTGCACTTGGCACATTTTCAAAGTTCACCCATGGGTCCCAGATCTCTGGGAGGCTGAGGCAGGAAGATAGATAGCAGGAGGAATTTAGCCTGGGCAACTTAGTGACTTAGTGAAACCCTGATTCAAAAGAAAAAAAAAAAAAGTTGAGGGCACGGGCCTTGGATTAAATCCCCAGTATTGAAAAAAAATTTTTTAATCCATTGGGCTTGCCTCACACATGAGGCCCTGCGTTTGATCCCAGTACTAAAAAATGTTTATCCATGCCATGGCATGTTTCAGAAATTCTTTCCTTTTTATGGTGAAATCATATTCCAGTTGTGTAGGTGCCACATCTGGTTTATCTATTTGCCTTGGGTTGTGTCCAGCTTTTGGTTGTTGGGAAAAATGCTGCTGTGAACATGGGTTTGTTTAAATCCCCATTTTTAATTCTTTGGGTATGTCCACTGAGGAGTGGGATTTCTGGGTCACAAGGTAGTTCTGCTTGGCTTTTCCTAGGGTGCTGTAACAAATGAGCCCAAATTGGGAGGCCTACAGCACAGACTGGCCAGATGCAGTGGTACATCCCTATAATCCCAGCAATTGGGAGGCTGAGGCAGGAGGGTAGCAAGTTTGAGTCCCATCTGGACAATTTTAGTGAGACACAGTCACAAAATAATAAAATAAAGGAGAGCTAGGTATGGTGGCGTACACCCATAATCCTAGCACTCTGGAGGCTGAAGCAGGAGGATTGCTAAGACCCCTATTTAAACAACAAAACAACCTATATGCCTCCCCATGTGCTAGACAGGTGAGATAGCTCACTCATAGGCTCCTGGTCACAGGAAGTCTGGGGCAGCACCAGGCCAGATGGCCCCACAGTTCTTACATAGTGTGGCTCCCATCTGTCAGTGGTCCTGATGGTTTCCTCCTTTGCAGGATGTGGAGATCAGCCCCAAGGTGGAAGCCTTGTTGTCTGTCCTCAGCACCCCAGGCCTGAGCCTGAAGCTGGTGAGGCCCAAAGCCCTGATGGACAACTGCTTCCGGGTCATGGAGCTGCTGTACTGCTCTTGCTGTAAGGAGCTATCGGTGGGCAGGGCTGGGAGGGGCAGGAGGCCGGTGTCTGGGCCCAGGGCGCCACCCTCCTGGCCACACCCTCTCCCTCCAGAGTGACAGCTCACTTCTGGAAGCCAAGATAGGCCCGGGAGTACAGACAAGAAAGACTGTGTGGCTTGTGGGTGCCATGGCACATGCCTAGAATCCCAGCTATTTGGTAGGCTGAAGCAGGAGGATCACAAGTTCAAAGCCAGCCAGGGCAATTTAGAAAGACCATCTCAAAATAAAAATTGAAAGCCAGGCGTGGTGGCACACGCCTATAATCCCAGCACTCAGGAGGCTGAGGCAGGAGGATCTCTGTGAGTCTGAGACCAGCCTGGGCTACATAGTGAGTTCCAGGTCAGTCTCAACTACAGAGTGAGACCCTGTCTCAAAAAACAAAACAAATAAACAAAAAAAAATTTTAAAAAAATTGAAAAAGGACTGGGGAGGTGGTAGCTCAATACTTACTAGGTTCAATCCCCAGTAATGTACAAAAAAAAAAAAAAATTTTAAAAAAATTGAAAAAGGACTGGGGAGGTGGTAGCTCAATACTTACTAGGTTCAATCCCCAGTAATGTACAAAAAAAAAAAAAAGTGGCTTGGCCGGAGTAGTGGTGGTGGTGGATCTTTATGTCTCCTGCAGTCTTTTTTTCTCTCTGCCCCTTACAGGTAAACAAAGCCCCATCCTAAACTGGCAGGACTGCGAGGTGCCAAGTTCTCAGCCCCACAGTCCAGAGCCCTTGTTACAGTGTGCAGCCACCCACTTGTACCCTCCACCCTAGGACCCTGCCACCTGCCTGCCCGGCTCCCGGGGCCTAAGCGCTGAACCCCGGCTGAGGTCTCTTGGCCTGAGCTGCCTGTATGTTGATCCTGTGTGGGGACCCTTGAGTCCCAGGAACCAGGCAGGGCCTGAGACTTTGGAGAAGCCCCCTGAGCTGGCTTCCACCTTCCGACTGACTGTCTCCTGCAGAGTGGCAGGGGCTGGGGACTCTGGGCTGCAGGTGATGCTGAAGTCTCCTGTGGTCCCTGGGCCAGAGCTGTGCTTCGAGGCAGCAGCAGAAATGCAGGGACCACGTAGGACTCCAAACTCGCCGTGGCTTTCCAGCCAGTTGGCACTGAGGGCTGAGCTAAATGCCATATCTTGCCACAGTGGTTGCTATTCTAGTTTTTTTTTTTTTTCTATTAAACGCCTGCTTTTTTTTGGTTTGGTTTGGCTTGCTTTGCATCTGTGATGGTGAACTTGGCTGGCTGAGGGCAAGTGGTGGGATGGGCAGTGGGCTGGGGGGGTTCAGCATCTGGACTTGCCGTGGACGGAGTGTTACTCACGACAGTGGAGGATCGAGTTCCTTCCAGCCCTGCCCTAGCCCGCAGCACCTCAGCACGCCCGAGGGGTGTCTTTGAGGGGCCAGAGTGATGACAGGGATGTTGGCCATCTTCTCACTCCCCTGGCTGCCCAGACAGCCCCCAGCAGGGGCAGAGTGGGGCCGCCTTAGCCTCAGGTCTAGGCTGAAGCCCTGGCCACTCCTGTCCCTGTGCCCGGGGACCTGTCTGGCTCAGAGTCCCTGGGGTCTGGATGACCAAGGCCAGGTGCAGGGGTAAGAAAGGGGCAGGGAAGGCAGGCAGAGGCAGGGGTGTTAGTTACAGTACGACTTTATTAATACTGGAATCTTCACAGTGCATCTGTTACTTGTAGCGGTGACTATTTAAATCAAGGGGAGGATGGAGTGGAGAAGGTGGGGAGGAGAGAATTGATCCAAAAACCGACAGAAAGAAAAGAAACAAAATGGTCCAGACGGAGGAGTGTGGGGGGTTGGGGTGAGTCAGAACCAGGAGGGGCAGCCTGGAGTGGGAAAATAAATAAAAAAGGAACAAGTTAACAACAGCACCAGAAAAGTTACTTCAGTCAAAAGACGCTTTTGAAAAGAATATTTCTCTGTACAAAATGAAAAATAAAATGAATGTAAAGAAGCCCCCCCAAACCAAAGTTTGTGATGTGGGATGGTGGGCTCGGATCCCGAGGGGGTAGCCTACCAGGTGCTCATAAGTGACAGGAAGGTGGTGGGGACAGTCACGGGACACTCAAGGGATGGAGTATGTACAGCTAGGGGCTCTGAGGGGAGGGGACAGCTGAGTGGGGGGCTCCATCTCGCCCTCTCCCTGGGAAGCCCTCAGCCTCCCCGCCTGGCCCGGCCCGGCCCTGTGGTGCCCACCCTGTGACGCCCCAGGGGGCAGCAAGCTCTCCTTGAAGCGAAGCCCCGGACCCCCTGCACTCCTGGTAGAAGCCACGCCTGCCCATCCCACTGCGGTCCCTCACACTGTCCCCTCACACATCCTACATCCCGCTCCTGTCAGCTGCCTAGGAAAGTTCCAGGGTAGGTGCAGCAGAAACTCCACCTCAGGGTGCCCCAGACGGGGAACCCGCTCTCCCGGCCTCTACCCTTGGGGCCCTGGTATCAGTCCAGCTTGGAGGGCAAGGTGCTCAGCGGGGCAGTCCCAGACCCGCACGGACAGGTCTCTAGCAGTCCTAGGGGACCCCCACGGGGACTCCATGTGCACAAGAACGCCCAGGAGCGCAGGCCCATGCAGCCGACTCTGCTCAGTCCAGGTCCAGCCCGAGGCGCGCTGCTCTCCCGGCCCCCAGGGACACCACCCTCGGGGCCCTGCAGCTTTCCCCTCTGGAATCCCTCCACTTGCCTTAGGCGCACGTGCTTTTACCTGCTCATTCCTGGCCTGACCTGGGCCGTGGAGGAGGAGTGTCCCCCTCCTCGACCCGGTCCCCACTGCCGGCCTGGGCCTGCCGTGGGGTCTGCCCCGGGACAGCATCTCCTCTGGTGACAGAGAGTCAAAGCCAGCTCCCCAGACTCGCTCCCCACTGCAGGCCGCAGCAGCCGAGCCCAGAGGAGGCCCCTGGGGGCCCTCTCCACCTTTAGTGTGGCTACACACCTTCCCCCTGACTTTGGGGGAGCCAGTCCTACCTTCTCCTGCCACAGGCCCACCGGGCCACGGTGCGGACCGCCCCCCATCTCTCAGGCACTCGAAGACACACACCCTGTACCACCAGCTTGCCCCACACAAAGCCCCTGTCTGGGGTCAGCTCCACTTTATTAGTCTATAAAATACCCCCTCCCATCATCTATGGCTCCAGCCCCACCCCAGAGGTGGCTCCAAAGTGCCACCAGAGTTAAACATCTCAGTGTGCTCAGATGAGAATCGGACATCTGAAACAGCTCCTACGCATTGGCCAGGTGACCCCAGGGGCCTCTGGACTCCCTGCTGCCCTGCAGCCATTCCTTCTGGGCGAGGGGCCAGGAAGTCCCCAGCCTCCCCTACAAGGTCCCCTGACACATTTCTTCTCCAGGACTCTGCTTGGACTCTGGGCTACCTTCCCCACGGGCAGGCCTAGCCTCTCAACTCCTCCTTGCTCCCTCACCCCGACCACAACTAGATACCTCAGCTGTTTCAACGCCAGGCACCCACGGCCACTGTCTCCCAGGTGGAGAGGGGCTTGGGAGAGGCAGGGAGAAGGTGAGGGGAAAGAGGGTATGCAGGCTGGGGAAGGGAGTGGGGGCTCGGCGTTCAAGGACGAGCCGGGGCTCCAGGACCCCAGGGAGCAGTGGCTAGGGGGGCTGAAGGGTGGACCCCAGGCCAGGAGGGGCCAGAATGGCAACAGGGAGGCTGGCCAGGCCCTTGTGGACTCACTGGAGTTTGGCAGAGGCAGGGCCTGCAGGGAGGAAGAGAGGAACAGAGTTGGCAAGGAAAGTCTAAAACTGGCTCCCAAACCAGGCCTGCAGGCTTCGTCCTGGCGAGGTCTGTGAAAGTCTTCCCGATAAATGCTGAGCCTGAGACCCAGCCTGGTGTCTTTTTCTGAAAGTGGCTTTGCCTCGTCCCTCGCGTTGCTCTTGCTCTGGCTGTACCTTTGCTCCGTGCGGCCACTGCTCACAGACCAGGGTCACCTGCTCGCACCAGGGCCATGCAGGGTGGGGTGGGTGGCACTATCATAAGATGCGGGGCGCCGACCTGTCGTTGGTGATGGTCCTGCGGAGCCGGACCCCACGCCGGATGGCTACCAGCATGTCTTCAGCAGGGGGGTCACTGGTGGCAGCAGGGGGTGGGGTGGGTGTCT